TGCATTTGTTACTTCTTAGGGAAATGAGAGTATATGTGCTAGTTTAGTCTCTGACTGAACAGAGTTAGACTAGTTTACTACTTACTCTAATGTGCAGTATATTTTTTAGCAATTAATATTTTCTAGCACTGTGTAAATAGTTTGTCTATAGCATGAAATACAGAGAATACTAAGTATGCAGATGTGAGTCTTCTTGTATCCTTATAGTTATATTTGCTTTTCTAGGCCCTAAACTATGCAGGTGGAGATGTAAGGGTTTGTCTGCCCAATTTAATGGAAACAAAGATTACCAAAGAGGATGGATCTGTTATAAAAAGGTTTGGGCTGGCATGGCACCAATATTAATAGATTGCAGTGGAACTAACAGCAATAGATCCTATGGACAAAAAAGTGACCATCATTCATAAAAACTAACAATGACCTACTTACTGAGCTGCTCCATAAGGTTACCTTGTGAGGTACATTAATGCCTGTTTCTGCTGTATGTAGCAAGAACACAGCTGAATTGTCATACAATATGTAGGATTATTACAGAATAAAAACTTGCTCTACACAAATAAATGTACTAAAAATGATCTTGTGAAGAAAACTAAAACAGAATGAAACTATCTTGTGTATTGGTTCTAATACTATACTTAACTGACAAATAACATGAACTTTTTTCATACTAATTCCTGGTTAATTAATATTCCTACAAAAAACAACATTATTGCCCTATGACCTAAAAGAAAATATGTGGGCAGCACTATGTGCCATAATCTAAAAAGAGATGCAGAGTATGTTAACTATAGCCAGATTGTAGAGCTGCTCTTGTGAGATGGATATGATTGCTTCCTGTGTCGGTACTGTGTAGCTTCTTCTGCCTTTTTGCTTATATGTGATTATTGAATATAAAAAATAACTTTTTTAGTACATGTAATACAATACGTTTTCTGCATGTAAGAGAAGAAGAGCCTACAAAAAGCGTGTTTATGAATGCTCAAAAAGTTACTGTTCAACTACCCTTTTTCCTTAATTGGTATATCAATAGGCCTTCTTTCCCTATACCTAGAAGTTCCAATTTTCCTGCAGTCTTACGCTCTATTACTTGAAGCCAATATAGTTTTACTTAATGGTGCATATTTTTTAAAGATATAAATAAACACACACACACATAAAATACTGTACAAAGTTGTTCCCTTTCCTTGAAGGTCACCACAAAGCTCACTCTTTACTGTTAGAGATGTGAAAAAGTCTTTCAAGTACGTTAGTCATCAGTCACATAAAGAACAAGCTTATTATTTAATAGACTACTGACAAATCATCCCAAATATGTTTTATTGTTGCCATTATCAATTTAAATGTTTTACCTGTTCACTAAGGCAGTGGTCCCCAACCCCCGGGCCGCGGGACCGGTACCGGTCCGTGGATCAAATGGTACCGGGCCGCCCAAGGAACATTAAATTATTTCCATTTTATTTACTGTGGTGTATTTCTCTCGGGTTTGTCCGACTTTCCAGGACGAGAGGTTAACCGGGAGCTGAGAGACGTCACCTAAAGCCGCACCAATACCGCGCATGCGCAAAATATCGTGATATCGGGGCGGTTTTAGGTGACGTCTGGAGCTGAGCGGCTGCAAGCGGCAGTGGCATTGTAGCTTTGGTAAAGAGAAGGTGTGTATCACTCTTCTCTCTGTTCACCGGTACTTTCTCATGTTTAACAGTGCTTGGTGTACATGTATATTGTGTTTGCTCAAATTTAACCCACAAATTAGCAAAAATGAGTACGAAACAGACGTCGTTAGAAAGTTTCCTTGGGAAAAAGAAAAGGCCCAGTGAAGAGACAGAAGAAGGGCCTTCAACATCAAAGAAACATGTAACTTTTAACAGACAATACCATGAGTCCTACTTGAAATATGGATTTATCGGGACAGGTGATTCCCACACACCAAAACCGCTCTGCATAGTTTGCGGCGACCAGCTCTCTAATGAGTCAATGAAACCTTCAAAACTGCTTCGCCACTTGAACACCAATTTTACCGCGGCCCAGCGGGCCACGGTAAAATTATCAACTGTTGACCGGTCCACGGCGATAAAAAGGTTGGGGAGCACTGCATTAAGGGACACAGGATTCAGTTATTCTGAGGCTACTTGGTTATACTGCCACCTATAGGAGGAATTGGACACTGGCAAACAAAAAAAGCCATTGGCCAGCCTGTTATAACCTTTTCCATCCCAGCATCCTTCAGTTTTTTAAGAGATCAAGTCAAAGGTGGTTATATCAGTTATATTTCCTTGAACACTCTCACCCACAAGTTTGCATTCCCTGTTTCCATCCCCTCTGCTAGGCATGTGTCTGAGCTGGTAACTTTATCCTGTAAAGAACCCTTGTTGGTCAAGGATGAGATGGTATTAGGACCTGGAGCCTCTTTCCTTAGGTGGTTTTCGCCTTTCATCTCAACCAAGACAATGTTCTTCCATCTTTCTGTTTAGCTCCTGTACACAGAAGGAAATGCCTCTTTACCTCCATCATCCATTAGGAAGACTTTCTGATGGTCCCTGTAAAGGGGAACCAGCTTCTTGTCCCACCATCTCTCGGTGATGCAGGAAGATCATCTTACAGGCATCTGATTTCAAAGCTAAGTTTCCTCTTTCTCCTGTCACAGCACACTCTGCTAGGGCTGGGGTTGCTTCTTGAGCTTTTCCACATCAGGCAACTGTGTCACTGATTTTTACCAGGTGTATGTTCAGGCCTCATCTGGTGCCAGCTTCAGGTCTTAAGCTCCATGAGCTGCAGCCTGCCCCCAGTTCTATTGTTTTTATGTGGGTCTGGTAGTGTTTCATTACTGTTTCCCAATTTGATGGCCAATTACTTTTTTGTTTGCCCGTGTCCAATTCCTCAGTTGTTTCTGTATAACTAAATCCTGTGTCTTAATAAACTTCAAGAAATGTTTTTTACGGTAAGTACAAAAATCCTGTTTTTGCAGAGTCTAGAGTTATGCACTCACATCAAATATTTGTTGCTGTTCCTGTGCAGATGCTGCTGGGCTGAATCACCCACTTGTGTCTCTCTGGGGCTTCAGTGGAGACATGATCCTGCTGGAGCTGTCAGTTTTGGTCCTCCCTCCAGAGATATGTCTCAGTTCTCCTAATGTATTCTCAGTAGTATAAAATAAATGAGCAATCAGACAGGGAGGCTATCACCTTATGCAATGCTGGCTGGTTTATAGACCTGCAAACCTGTGCACAAAGATTTCTGTGCTGGATCCCTCAAGGGATATAGGAAGTCTGCAAGTTTTTTAAACAAACAACATGAACTCCCACCTTAAATGTACGCTTTGGATGGTTTAAATTTTTTTATGTTTTAGAATTCTGCGTTGAGTTCACAAGTAACTATAAAATCAAAGAAGCAGTGGGTTTTTATTACTAAATCTCGGAATGGTTCTGAATCTCATCAAAACAAGTACATTTGTGTAAGCCTTGTTTTAGGTGCTTATCAGTGTGCCCAGGCTGTGATGGGGCATGTCTTAATAGTTTAGCATTATCAACATCTTATTTCATATGTTAATACAAAACCTTCGGTGACAGCGGAGGGATGTAATCACAATCTCTTATCAGTATTGTGCAGCAGAGGTACCGTAGACTCATTATGAAGCAGAGGAGTCCCTGTTGTCTGCGTAAATTAATAATGCTGACACTTATGCAATCCCTAAAACATTAAGTCTTCCTACAGGGTATAATTGTCTATAACAGCAGTGTGATGCAACCTGGTTTGAGAGATTTATGTGAAAACAAACATCTAAATGAAAATCCTACTTAAAATTCATCTCCAAATCCTACTTAATAGGAGCCATCTGGAACACCACTCAAGCCTACATAGTGAATATTAGAGATGACAAGCTATTGGCTGATTAATTAACAAAATAAATAGATGTTTCTTAGATGCTCTTGGATCTCAGAATACTGTGCAGCCAATGCAGCATTGCAAATGTAAAACAGCATTTTGTAATTATAAAGGTGCATATATTTGACCAGCTAAGTACATTCAGGCATAAAGTAACAAGACATACAGTATATTTAATAAACAGACATAATGTATAACTCAATGTAGGGAAGACAGTGGTGAATGTAAGTAGAGCATGATTATATGTTTTACACCCTGTCATTCAGTTGAGAGTCACCTGAACATGGAGATGCTATAAATTGGATTGCTCCCCCTCCATGTAAATAACACTTAGGGACTCCCTCTTCTGCCGCAACGCTCCATGATATGATGTTCCAAATCCCTTGTCAGCTATAAGAAGCTCTGCATCTAGAGTAATTTAGAAAGCTATATTCATCTTTAATTAGTGCACATCCAGCAGAAAAGGAAGTATTAAATCACAAAGGTATATCCTGAGCCTTCTGGTCCCACAGAGCCTGGTTGCTATTTCTAGTGCTGCTAATTCTGTTTAGAGAGCAATCCAGTCCTTTAAATGGTGCAGTTAAACTGTTTATGTAAAAGAGATCAGGTTTTTACTCACTCAGGGAGAGTCATCATCATGTTAGTTTTTGGATTATAGTGTTATATGCTTTACTGCCAGTGATATCAGCACCGCAGCCAAATTTTATACATGCAGCTGTAAATTTACAGCATTTTGTGACTGTACAGAGGAAGGCTTGAAGGTGAATTGGAGCTGTGTCTGAATGCACTTGTTTTGGTTCTATTAGAATTATATACACATACAACAATAAAGTCGTTAAGTGGTGCTATTGTCTCCTCCTTTCACAAATGTTCATTGCCAAGATTGTCACAAAGGTTTATGTCTGTCAGCATTTGCAGAAAATGACAAGTGTATGACTTTAAATAGTATGTTGCTTATAACTTAGGGTATGGAAGGTAAGTGGAGGTGTTGTCCGTTACAACCCTTCAGATTCCAGCTGAAATGTTACAGACTTTTGTAGGATTTGATACCTGTTTCAAAAGTGCATCACCCTTTTTAGAGTATACACACTACTAACAATTGTGTTTTCACTCTTCAGAACAATGATGCATAAAGCCAGCACACAGAAGAGGACTGTGGTGAAGGACCAGCATGGGAAACATGTTTTCGTTGAGCATTTGGAGGATGTTCCTGAAGCGTTCCACAAGGATTCCCTCCATACTGACCTCCAGCAACTTCTCACCCGCGTCTGCAGAGAAGACTATGAGCAAGAGGCCAAATGAGAGGCTGCTGAGCCACACTTACAACACATATCTGTAGTCAGTATGCAAACGATACATTCTCCTCACGCACAAGGGCCACGCGTGATGTCCGCTGGGTGACACTGGCACTCCTGTTCTGCAAATGTTGTAAACAAAATGATCAGCTTTGTGTGTCTGTTTGTAAATGCAAAGATTATTTGTGACCAAAGATAGCATCCTTTTGGATGGTATACCAATGTTATTCTTTTCTTTTTCCATTTCAGTTGAGTTTAGGTTGACCTTTTTCTCCTACATGTTAGCTTCGTCCACAGGCCTCTTCAAAGTGTCTGCCAAGCCAACTTTAAAATAGGATGGACCTGACAGTGCTACATATACAAAGTGAATGTGCTTGGATTAGAAGAATTTAAACTTTCCTGCAGGCCTTGACTACACTTTGCTTAGCAGGAGGCAAAGTAGTGAATGAAAGTGACTGTTCAGAGACTTGGTATTACTTGGGGCATTTAGAACAGGATTCAAAGCATCGACATACAACTACTAAAGCTCCAGGTTACTCTACTGTCTATCAGTGGTTCTAAGACATCAAGTGAGGTTTCCTGAAGAAAAAACGTAATCAAATAACCAATCTGCTAGCTGCTTATATAAAGGCATACACACATATTCAAGCTATTCTCAACTGGACAATTAGTAGAGTCACAGTTTCTCTACAACAGATATACTTGCTCCAGTCAACGCTTTAGCAGACCATATTGTCTTATAACTAGTGGAAATGTCTGCTGGACATAGCACTGTAAATATTAATAATGGGAAAGATATTTCCCGGGTTAAGTCAAATAATAATTAAGAAGTCACCGTGTTTATCAGGATTTCTTATGGCACATGCATGTGGCATTAAACGAAATGGAATAAAGCTCCTATAATCATGTGTTGACCTTGTAAACCCCCTTAGCACTGAGCAAGCAGTTTTCACAAAATGTGTCCTCTTCTATTTCTGTACTTTATTTTTATGTCAAAAAGTTGAAGACACAAGGCAGGTTTCAGTTCTATTTTTTATGTTTTTACATCGTAAACGAATCCTTGAAAATGGTTATAGCATTTATGCACTTTTTTTTTAAAAAGAAGGGATTATAAAAACAAAAAGGAAATATTTTTCGTCTTATGTACCTTATTCTTGTGGTTTAAACTCTGTAGCCTTTTAACATACAAATATATATATATATAAATAAATAAATGCATATAAGCACTATACATTTTAAACCCGTTTATTTAATGTAAGTACGGATTGGGGAGCAAACAATGAACAAAACACAGCATTAACCTACGTGTTGCTAATTTATAAATAAGATGAAAACATGAAATCAAATCAGGCCTATGCTCTTTAGGAATCAGGAGGGAAAAGACCCACCGAGATAGATGAATGTCAATTGTAAATTAATAGGATTTCTTTAAATCCCTTGTAAACATAACAACACTAAATCATTATTTAGTTTATTTAATTAAAATGACCTACTGTGTAGCTTTCTTTTATTTTTGGCACAAACATTGCTAAATTACTTTCTCAGTAGCCAAAGTGAGGTCATATACCATGAATTATGAGTTACGCGGCTATTCCAGTGTTTGACAAAGAAACTTTAAAAAAAAAAAAGTCCTGTTGTGCTACTTGCAGTGCAGATGATGTCTGTGTAACGGCATAATCACATTTATGGGTTCTGATTCCTATTTTTTAAGTTCTGCTCTGTAACATAAAAATCTAATTTTACTACTGTGAGAGTTGGCATATAAGTGGATGACTCAGCATCTTGTTCCCATGGTGATAACACTAATTTACTATATCTATGAGGGCATGTCTTAGTTACAAATGGCAAAAATAAAACACACTAACAATACATAGCTGCAATGTGTACAATGGCTCATTTAATTAAATAAAGTGTTCAATGTAAAAACAAATCGCTCGTGTCTGTCTGGTAATCTGGTAACATAAAGGAGTATTACAAGTATTTCTAGACATTGGCCCCCTATAATAAGGAAGTGGTGATGTGCAAAGAGTGGTAAGCAGCCAGCAATCATCTTTTTACATTTAAAATATATTATTTTTAATATCATGGTAGTTGATGTCTGTAGTTGATTGGGTATTATGAGTTAATACGATTTATTGCTCTTTGAGCTGCCTTGTTAAATAAGTATTGAACTCTTAAACTTTTTTCAATAATGAATCCAGATCAAACAAATATACATTGCCCAGCAAAGTGTTTCTTTAAATTTTTGCCCAATCACTTACAGTCATTGTATATCCAAACAGCTGGCTCCAACTCTCTAAGCTCTTCTTCCCTGAACTTCCTCAAAGGGAGAGCACAGCCTCCAGCAACTGTCCATCCTAGCTTGGAGAAGGGAAAAGGGAGGAGAATGGAGCAGGGGGCAGTGGAGTGGCTTGCCTTGCTTGTGGAGACACACACAGCTCATACCACATATAAGGGTGGCTCCATAGGAGCCAACCTAAAGCAGGATATCAGGGCCAGTGTTCAGGGGACCAGCTGATTCTGCAGGAAAATAAAACTTTTAACATCAAGGAGCAGCATCCATCCACAGTGAATTAATCAGCATTTGAAGTAGCCTAAAAACCTCTTTAATATTGTAATTAAGGCCAGAAATGTACCATGGACTACATCAGTACCAGAGATGCCACATACAGTAATAGGTACTTTATATAACTAGGGAGTCAGAGAAATATATAGACATTGGGTGGTTTGAAACCAAATCACTAGAACAGTGGTCCTACTTTAAATGCCTTATGGAGATATTGGCTAAAGCAGGTAAGAGTCCCGATGCCCAAACTGCATCCTGGGGGCCACATGCAGCCCTTTGGTACATGTGACTCTTTGCAGAGCCTAACAATCAGTAGTGGAAGCATTCATTTGTTAAGAGGCTATAACATGTAGCATGTCCCCAGTCTCTTACTATCTCCCGTATTGTGTCTTCAGTCTCTAAGCACCCCTCTTGCATGCCTGGAGTCTCTGATTGTCTCCTCTAGTATGTCTGAAGTCTCTGACAGTCTTCTGCATATTAAATATTATGTGTGGCCCATGGAGCTGTAAGGGGCCACAGCTGAAGCCCCCTACACCTTGTAAGTTTTCAACCACTGGGTTAGAGCCCCTGTCAGGTTTCCATTCCGTTTTCTTTATTGTAGAGCACAGAAAGTAATGGCAAATCACTTCAAGGACACATAGACAAAAACACATTTTTTGTAACGTGGGGAAGGTTCATAACCTCTAACATTGTTTTTATTTCTGCAAAAAAAAAGCAAAAGACAGCGCCTTCTCCACGTGCATTAACGTTTATTAGAAATCAAATACCGGAGTATATACAGTAGATCTACTCACATGTAAGAGGTAGAAAGCAAGCAGTGTATTTAACAACAACCAGGAACAGAGCTGACGCGTTTCAGGGAAGTCACCCCTTCCTCAGAGCTAGTACCAATAACCAAGAAGCCAGTATATATATATATATTACAGTATCTCACAGAAGTGAGTACACCCCTCACATTTTTGTAAATATGTTATTATATCATTTCATGTGACGACACAGAAGAAATGACACTTTGCTACAATGTAAAATAGTGAGTGTACAGCTTGTATATCAGTGTACATTTGTTGTCCCCTCAAAATAACTCAACACACAGCCATTAATGTCTAAACCACTGGCAATAAAAGTGAGTACACCCCTAAGTGAAAATGTCCAAATTGGGCCCAAAGTGTCAATATTTTGTGTGGCCACAATTATTTTCCAGCACTGCATTAACCCTCTTGGGCATGGAGTTCACCAGAGCTTCACAGGTTGCCACTGGAGTCCTCTTCCACTCCTCCATGACGACATCACGGAACTGGTGGATGTTAGAGACCTTGCGCCCAGCGGTTTAGATTTCAATGCCGGCCTCTTCTCATGCTGATTGGCCGATTGGATGATTGACAGGCTTCCCCACCAATCACGAGTGAGGACAGAGGAATTGAAGGCGGAGTCTGCTTTCGGCCGTTCGCCCGTGGAGAAGGAGATCGCGGCCATCTTGAATGAATGCAGACGAGTACGAGTACTCATGCAAATACTCGGTATCGCGGCCGATACCGATGCTTGTATCGGTATCGGTGCATCCCTAATATATATATATATCATATATACATACATATATACTGGCTTCTAGGTTATTGGTACTAGCTCTGAGGAAGGGGTGATTTCCCCGAAACGCATCAGCTCTGTTCCTGGTTGTTGTTACATACACCGCTTGCTTTCTACCTCTTACATGTGAGCACGGCTGGATTTCCCATAAGGCCCGGCCTCGGGGCAGCAGGGGTATGGAATTCCTATCTCCCGATGCCCGAGCGGGTAGTTGTTTTATACATTTAGCCCTGCTTTGGGCAAGCAGAGCTAAATGCACAGCGCGGAAGCCACTGCTTGTGTTGTACAAGTGATCTCGGTGACATTGTATGCAGCTTGCAGGTCTGCCATTCTCCATGGGGGGTTGGCGGATAGGGGGCGCATTGGGGTACCTAGCCTTGGGTCAGTAGAGAAAGTAAATCCGGCCCTGCATGTGAGTAGATCTATATACTACGGTATTTGATTTCTAATAAATGTGAATGCACGAGGACACGAGGAGAAGGTGCTGTTTTTTGTTTCTGTTTTGCATGTTCTCTAAGGTTGTTTCCCAATAGCCTTGCTGACAGCAGCCTTTCCTGATATGCCCTGTTCAGAAGATCTATGGTGTCTAAGTCTGCTGAGCACTGAGATTGAGACTTTTGTTCTTTGTTTTTATTTCTGCCTGTGTCTTCCTTTTCCAACGTTCCCCATGTCTTATAGGGGCTTTACAGGGACAGAAATTGAGGACAATTCTATCCAATGCGGTCAAAACCAGAAATAACTATTTGACTGGATTTTACATTTTTTCCCACCACTGCCAAA